ATGCTCCCTGGAAAAGGACAGACAAAGAAGCAAGGAATGGTAAGAAACCATCCTGGAAACATGCAGGAGGAGGCACGTGGGGCTGAGAAAGCTCTGTTGGTTGGGAAGGTGTTTGCCACAAGAGCATGAGGACCTGAGTTTAATTTCTAAGATCCACATAAGAAGCCAGATGCAGTAATGTGTGTGTTTATAATCCCGTCTCTGGTGAGGTGGAGACAGGAGCATCCCTGGGGCTTGCTGACCAGCCATCCTAGCCTAATTGGTGAGCCCCAGGTTCCAATGAGGAGCCCTGTCTCAAAAACTAAGGTGAATACGACAGAAGTCCCTCCCACCCACCATTTCCCTTTGTGCATCTGTAAGTGGCGATGTCTACCATAGGGCATAGAAGACATAGCCAGCAGCCAGTATGAGCCTGTGCCCCAGCTCAAAATTGACATGCAAAGCTAAATGTGGTGGTTTGAGTGAAAATACTCCCTCATAGGCATGTATGTTTGGATACTTGGTCCCCAGCTGGTGGAATTATTTGGGAAGGATTAAGAGGCGTAGCCTTGTTTTAGGAGGTGTGTTGCTGGGGGGTGGGCTTTGAGGTTTCAAAAGCCCTCACCATTCCTAGCTTTCTCTCTCTCTCCCCTCCCCTCCCCCCCTCCCCTCTTCTCCTCTCCCCTCTCTCTGCTTTGTGCTTGTGGATCAAGATGTGAGCTCTCAGCTACTGCTCCAGCACCATGCCTACTGGTCTGCTGCCATGCTCCCCACCATGGTAGCCATGGACTCTAACCCTCTGAAACCATGAGTTCCAAAGCTTTCTTTTCTAAGTTGCCTTGCTCATGGTGTTTTATCACAGCAACAGAAAAGTAACTGAGGCACTGCCTATACCTCAGGATTTGCAAGCTTGTGCTGGATCCCTCAGAGAGCCATGTTGCTTATAGCCCTCTTCCTGCTTATGGCCTCCTGTGCCCCTCCTCATATGCTCATAGTCTTTTGAACTGAGGGAAATGGACTCTGATGGCAAATTCACTGGTTCCTCTGCCCAGTGGTGAGACAAGGGGGTGAGAAACAGTGATAGGACCAAAGAAAGTGACACCAAGAACCAGGGGTTACCCCTGTTGAGCACTCCCCTGCAGCTCCATCTGTGCTTGGGTAAAGCAAGGAGGTGGGGGCCTGTGGACAAACAGGTCTGGGAACTCATTCCTCCTGCGTAAAACTGGCTGCTAGGACATCTGCCTGGCAAGCCCCTTTCTCATCATCCCTGTCCCTACAACTCTTCCTCTGTTCTTTCATTCTTTTCTGGAGATTAAGGACCCAGCTATCCCAGTGAGCTAAACTAACATAGTGGGCTATGGCTGGAATTTGTATTGTCATGTGCATACTGACTTAATGTATGTGCACGCGCACCCACATATGCACACAATCTGCCAGTTCTAACTTCTTCCCTAGACAGATTTCTCTGTACTTCCTATCTTGAACAACCACCAACTGCCTGAATTTCATGCATTGTTCTAAGTATGTTATCTATGACAGTTACTGAAGTGCCACAATTCTATCATTGGACATTTTAGAGTCAAGGGGAAAAAAAAAACCCAAGGCAGAGAAGTTAAGTATGCTCCCTAGGGTCCCACAGCTAGGCAACAGCAGAGGCAGGTTCAAACCTAATCACTCTGACCTCAAAGTCTGGTTTTGTTTCCCCCCCTCACCCCGCCCCCTTCAAGGCACACAGCACTCTGAAATGTAGGAAGCTTGCAACCTTCAGAAGAGTCCCAACTCCAAAATGTTTGCCCAGTGTGGGTCAAACAACCGAAGTAGGACAGCCACAAGGAATGGGGGTGAGAGTGACCCTTTAGGAAGCTCAGACAAGCTTCAAAGAGCTGCCCAGACAACAACAGCCTGGCATGTCAGCCAAGACAAGCGGACTCTGAGCTATGCTGCTGCTCTCCTCTCAGTCCACATGGTGACAAGCTCTGCAAATAGCGGCCAGAGGCTCAGGACTAGCGAAGAATCCTCATGTGTGCACAGCTTGGAAAGGACACACACACACACACACACACACACACACACACACACACACACACACAGAGTCTTCTATAGGAGCATTGTCTTTAAATAGAAAAGATAATCTGAAATACACCCTGAGCTTGCAAGGCATTCACACATACACACACACACACACACACACACACACTGGGGCCGGAGTGACTGAACCAACACTTCAGCTGTGCCAGTGGTGAGAGGAGGGAACCTAGTGCCCTGGCAGCTCCTGACTTTCAGTTCCTATTTAAAATGTCTGAATTGGGAGCATCGACAAGCTCCCAAATTAGCTTTTTAAATAGAAGCCGAGAGTTAAAGGAAAAGCGGCCGTGTCATGGGGGAAAAGCAAATGAAAAATCCCGGCCAGGCTGGGCCAGAGGCAGAGGGGGGAAGGAGCCAATAGGCATGGCCTGGGAGATTCCAGGAAAAGATGGAGGGTGAGTACCAGTGTCTCCTGGACAGTGTCTCTTCCAGACAATATCTTGGATCCAGGTACCTCCTTTCTCCTCTTGCTTGTTCCATTTTCCTTATCATCTGTAAACAAAATCCATGCTGGCCTGAACTAGAAATCCAAGTCTCCCTTACTTTTCTCCGGCTATTGGAGACAAAAAGGAGAGCAAGTTCACAGACATGTCACTTAGACTACTCAAGTCTGAGCATCTGAGGGACAGGATTGGAGGGACTGGGGCACGGGGTCTGAATGAGTGTCCTGGCTTCAAGTAGGGCTTACAAAGCCCCGGAGGGAGGATCTCATTAACAGACCACTCCAAGAGTACTGATGTCCCCAGGTGACCATTTGTTCCCTGACAGTTTGGGAGACTGGATCCCTGAACTACCGTCACACTGCAGAACAATGGCAAGAATGTTCAGGAAATCCTAACCTAGGCAGAAATAAAAATTTGAATTTCCCCTGCCCCAAGTTGAGTAGGAGACAGGGGACCAAAGGAAAGTGTCCCTATTGGGGCCAGACCACCCAGAGACAGGGTACCTTCTCTTAGGGGTTACAGCAACTACAAAAAAATTAATTAAAAGTCTAAAACAAAACCCAACATCAAAAGCTCTTCCCCAAGGAGAGGAGGGAGGGAGAATCCCTGCCAGGGCCTTCCCTGAATTCTTCCTGGGTTGGCCAGGGAGTGGCAGTGTTGTTAATCATTATTACTGTATGCAAATTAGTATGCAAATCCCACAGGGTTCTAGGACTCTTGTCAAATACTAATGGGGTCCACGCCCACCTCTTGAAGGGCCAATTGTGCACCTTTCAGAATGACACACTTAAGGAAGCCTTGGTTAGGGTAAGTGAGCCCATAGAAGCACCAAGCTTCTAGAGGTCCAGAGTAGCTGAGACCTCAAAAACTAGTCCTCACCCTGTGCTTCCGGGGGCGGGCTCGGTTTGCCACAAGCCAGAAACCCTGTTCTGGACTCAGGAAGGTCTTTTTCCAGCCACAGTTAAAGACATGCCCTGCCAAGTACACCCTCACCCTTCTTCACATTTCGCATTTCTCTCCATTTGTGTCTCAGCATACACCCCTCCACACTTCAGAACTGCAATCTCTGAAGCCAGAGCGTTCAGGTCCCTGCAGAGGCACGGAGCTGCCTGCTTCGCGATCTCCAGGCCCGGGATTCCCAGCACCCAGGCTAGAGACACAGGGAAGCCGGAGACCGCTTGGCTCAGCAGCCGGGGCTGTGCTCTACACATACGGCTCTGGTGACCATGGGACTCCTGGCTGGACACTAAGCCCCATGGACGCCCGTCAATCTCCCACTCCCCATCCTGGGTCGAAGTACTAAGCAATAGGGATCTTTGGGCTTCTGGAAAGGTCCGAAGGCCTGGGCCGGCTCTGGGAAGATAGGGAAGTGAGAGTTCACATTCCCAAATCCTCAATCTTAATTCTGGACACTCGTGATAGAGGACTGGAGCAAATCCTGACTGTCTGGTCATGACCTCTCACTCCTGTAGGATAGCGGCTCTTCCGTGAAGGTAAAGGCAGTTTGACCCCTCTGAGACCTTTCCAGCTTTGGCACACGCAGCTGACAGTTCAGGCAGGGTCAGCCTGGAAGCTTGCACGGCGACCAGCTTCACCTCACTAGGTGACCAAGGAGAGGAGTTGCTCTGCCGCGTGGACCGTGAATGGGAAACGGACATCCAGTTAAGTGTACACACCCCGTGCGCACACAGCCGGCGCTCCTTGCCACCTCTTCCCAAGTCCCCAGCCACACACGCCCCCGAACTCACGATCACGCCGCACGCCCGGCTCCTCCCCCACTCCCAAGCCAAGCTCACCTTGCCACGCTCGCCCCATGCCCACCCTCGCCGGCACACGCGCTCACACCCGCGTTGGCACACTCCACCACCACCTCCAGGCACACCCTAGGATTCCTCCACTCTCCTGGGGAGACGCACCAGGCTCTGCCTAGTCTCCCCGCCCCCCCCCCGCTACACCCCCCACTCACGCGCGCGCCCCTCTACACACACACATACACACACACACACACACACACACATACACACACACACACACACCCTCGCGCAGAGTCACTCCCCCTCGCACGCCCTCGCCCTGGGCACCCTCCCGCGGCGAGGCTCCCGGGTCCTCCTCCTCGCTCCCTCCGCTGCCTGGCGGCTCTGCGCTCTCGGGCCGGGCCTGGGGCCGCTCGGCCCGTGGGGGATCGGTGGGGAGCGGAGGGCGCAGCCTCGCCGCCTCCCCCGGACTCTCCTCTCCGCCCCGCCCGCGCCGCGCCCCCACCGCCTCCTCGGGAGAGGGACCTCGGGAGAGGCAGCCCGTGGCCGGCCGGGCTCCGCTCCGCGCGGCACCGGCAGCGGCGGGGGCAGGGAACAAACGAACCGGAGCTCACGAGCCCGAGAGCGGAGCGGCTTAGGCGGGGAGGGGACGCACTGCCGAGCCGGGGCTGGAGCGGCGGTGGCGGCGGCGACAGCGGGGGAGGGACGGCCCCACGGACGGACCGACGCACGAACCGACCGAGTGAGGGAGGGACGAGCGAGACTTCGCCGGCGAGGAGGAGCCGCCCGAGCGGCGGCTGCTGGGCGCTTCCCCGCGCTGCTGGGCGCTCTGCGCCTCGGCGGCCCCCGGCCGCAGCTTCCTCGCGCGCGCGGGGCGCGGGGCCTGGGGCTGCCTTCGGCGAAGGTAAGAGGGAAGCGACCGAGCCTTCCGGAGCCAGCAAGTGCGAGGAGCGCTGCTCCCACGCCTGTTGCTCCGGCTGCCCACGCGGCACCCTCCCACTCCCGCGCCCGGGTGGGTGGGCGCTGGGGCGCCGGAAGGATTGGGGGTGGGGCCGGGGCCGTGGGGGAGCAGGCAGCGGGCCTGGGGGCGTCGGTTCCCTCGGCTGTGGAGCTACCTCTGGGCACCCAGGCGCTGAGAGGTTTGGGGGGTGGGGGTGTGAACCTCTGCCCTCTTGCCATTGGCCTGCCTTCCCTTGCTGGGTGCCAGAAAGCAGCGCCCCGGGATCTGGCTGCAGGTGGCGACGGTTTGCTCCGTCCCTGCTCTTTGTGAGCTAAGGAGAGAAATGGCTGAGAGTGGAAGCTGGGAGCCGTTTGGGGCGCTTCGCAAAGTTCTCCAGCCCAGCGAGCCTGTGGTGCGCCTGCCAGAGGCTGGGGGCTGGTCCAGCTGGTCCTGCCTGTCACATCTTCCACCCTGTGGACCCTAGGAAAGGTGTCTTAAGTGTTATGAGCTGCCCTGGGGAAGGGGATTCAAAGACTCTTTTGCTTTACAAGATGTTTACACTGGGGATGGGCAGAGAAGTTACCTAGAATCAACTAAATTCCTATACTTGCTTAGTGCTGGCATTTGATTCGGCCCACGATGTTCTCCTTTCATCCCGGGCAGCCTTGATAAGTCAGCAACAGGCTGAGGTTCCAGACCCGAAATCAAGGCAACGAGAAGTCTCCGTGTATTTCACGCAGCCTCTGAACTTTCACGGGGTGATAGGCACAATGCAATCGGTAATCAGGTTTTACAGGGTGGTCATGCATGAATGTAGGTGATGCTTGAATCGATGCATTATTTACTGTTACTTCAAGGGAACCTGAATGTTTATCTCGGGGCAAGGGGGCTTTGGGGCATAGGTTCAATACAAAGCGTGTGTACATTTTACCCCATGTGAACACATACTGGCCCACAGAAATGTTTATTTTTCCATGTTGCTTCTTGAATGCTACAAGACTCTAGAGGAAGAAGGATTAGCAGCAGCTTGTTCCCTTTTGCTGTTGAGGAACCGGGAGAAAAAGAGTTCGGGTGAACTGCCACCCTAGGAGTAGCACTGCGGAGAAGACGATCTGTGGGTCCCAGGCCTGTGCCCCAAGGATCTCCAGCTTGGTTCCCCTCACCATTTCATCCCTGTCTAACAAAATCCCACCAGCACAGGACAGACTCCCTGGGAGGGGGAAACGGTCCCCCAGACCAGCTCCAGTTTCTGAGGACTCGCGCCTGAGGTCGTTGAAGGGCAGATCTTAGTGATAGGACATGTTTGCCGCTTTGTGTCTGTGCTCAGGTGAGGTGTTGAACCCCAGGACTGGAGGTCTGACCTTTTTTGATCCTCTGACTCCAAAATAGAAGGTGCTTTGCAGGGCAGCTGCCTCTTTGAAGCAAGAGAAAGTGGTTTCTTTTTTCCAGAATTTTTCTCGTTTATCATTTCTGAGTTCACCTGGTTTTAATCTCTCTTCCTCCTGCATCCCTACCTTACCCCACTGCCGAATCTTTCCCGCTGTCAAACTCTTTTGCCACAAACAAAAATAGCTTCAGAGTTTTCATTTGTAAGGCATCCACGTCCTAGTAAAACTGTGGTATGGGAGGTGTGTGCGGTGCCATTGGCTGGAAATGGGGCCGCACTGTAGTGCCTGTTGCAGGGTTCATACCCAGGCCAGCTCCAAGAGGCGCTGGCACTGTTAGGGGGTGAGTGTTGCATCGACATCCTGCAGAAGTCCTGCTTGAGCCGGGTCATCCCTGCAGGGTTGTATAGTGGGTGTGGCTGGCATGGACTTGGGCATGGTGTCTGGTGGGATTACTGTCCTCTTCCAAACTCAGGCATGTACAATATATGATCATGTGCATGCACATTCAAATGCACACAGAAAGTGGCAAAAAGTAATTGCTGTTTTCTTGGTACTTTTAACCAAAAGGATGGATTCTGAGTCTCTGGAGACAGTCTGGTACTTGCACGACCTTCTTGAGAAAGATTGTTCTGGATTATTGTCCAGGGTAAAAGTTTGCCCTTGGGGCAAAAGACTTTAGGAAAGATAGGGAGATGATTAGTGTTGCCTTTCTCTGAGCTTTCAATTATCCATCAGAAAACAGTTTGTGCATTACTCATGGCCTTGGAAAAGAAGAGTTGACTCAGTAAAGAGGGTGAGGGCATGGAGCTCGGCTCGCAGAGGCAGGCAGCTGGTGTTGGGACTCCAGAATCCCAGGGGCAGTACTGGGAGACTGGCAGGAGAAGGGCATTGTCCTTTCAGAGCCATGTGTCTGGCTAACAAGATTCTTCAGGGTACTTCCTGATTCAGCAATCTCTTAATCTTTGCCATTTGAAACCCTGCCAGGCCCATCTCTTTGATAAAGCAGGGATGCTGGGGTCATGAGTCAAGGGGCCAGCAAGGGCCTAAGACCTAGCCCTCTTTCCTTCCTAGGAGAGTGAGCGGGTTTCTGTGGGTAGACTAGGCCTTTGATTGCCTTGGGTTCCAAGTGGTGCAGGTTGTGTGCCCTGTTCTGGGTACCAGCCTCATCAGGAATTCCCAGAACTCCCTCTGCTGAGATGAAGCTCAGGCTAATTGCATCCCCACAGCAACCAACCCAGATGCTCTACTTCCCGCTCTGCATGGGCAGCCATCATAAGGCAGTCTCAGAGAGACAGGAGATGTAGCGTCTGTGTCCTGGATCCAGGAGAATCATTTGAATCAAAAGGTCCTCCGTCACTTTCTTTTTTGGCTTTCATTTTACAGATGAGGATGCTGCAACCCAGAAAGTTAACAGTGGCTTGCTTTCAAAAGTTAAGGGTAGTACTAAGACAGACGGAAAGGCCCTGGAGTCTGCTCTCTCAGCTACCTGCCTCTTCTAAGGGACCGTCAGGATTGGACTGCATTTGACAGTGAGCCAGACAACGGTCTGGTTTGAAAACTGTCCACCCCTTATATACATTAACTTAAACACTTGGAAGGAAACTTCCAAGCTTTAGGCCTATTTTCCTATCACCAATAGGCAAAAAAATCACAAGATTTTTGTGGGAATAAATTAAATATTATATGATGTGCAAAAGTGCCTTGGATAGTGCCCACCCAGAACTTTATCGGTGCTCAGGAAACAGGGCCTGAGTCAGAATTGGAATTATCTGTAACTAGTGTTCAGCTCATGTTCGTTTCCAAGACCCTCATCCCTTGGAAACCTAACTATATGCTGGGGGACAGAGACATCTCTAGTTCATTGTAAGGGCGAATGCCTTGAAGACAACTACACAATGCAGAATGTGTTTCTGAGTCTTCTCTCAGTAGTGCGTGGATTACCTGCTGTCATGGACGAATGACCTCCACTTTCCTCTGTTCTCTCAGTTCCTATAATCAAGAACTCATCAGGCCCATGCTGTTTTCTCTCCTCTGAGTAGTGACACCTACAGGAATTGTCATTCTCGTTGTCTTCTGTAGCATCTAAACAACATTTAAGGAAGAGAGGGGCTTTTGAAAATGCCCCCTTAGCATGTAGGTGGGGAAACTGAGGCAGAGAACAACTCCTCAAGGACACTAAACTGAGACTGCAGTTAGTCTGCAGACACTCAATTCTCAGGATTTTGATTCAACTTTGTCACTGTTTAGAGAGAGAACAGCCACCCTTGACAACCCCAGGAAACAGTAGCAAGGCACAGAGTTATACTGACGGAGAGCAAGCAGCGTCTATCAAATAGTGGTCCTGGCTCCAGTGCCTGCTCGAGCACTACATTCACTATTGCTGCTTGCTGGGCGAGGTGGAAAGCTAAGATTACACGGCCTTTGCCCTACAAGATCTTTGTGGGGCCCAGGGAGTGTGCTGCCTAGAGTGACTCCCAATGAGTTCTGACTACTTATTAATCATGTAGAAAGTCACGACCACTCCTTATCCTTCATTTTCCTTATGTACAAGATGAGGACTGCAGTGGTGTCTACTCCAAAAGCAGGAGTTGTTTTGGTGGCTTGATGGAAACAATCCATGGATGTGTAAGATACTGATCCTGGTGTGGCCGGTGCTCAGTAATCTATTCAAGGTAAAATCCCTGACCTGTGCTTCAGGGTAATCAGGTATCTGTAGGCCTTCGGTTTTCTTATTCATGAGATGGTGGACATGATAGACTCTTCCGCCTGGGATTGCTTTGAGGATTAAATGAGACAGTGCAATGCCTTGCATAGAGTATCTGGCCATTTATTACTGTTAATGTCATCACTGTTAATGAAGGGGATACAAAGCACTGTAACCCAAGCTTGGCATGGCAGGTGCTAAAGCAGAGATCCAGAGCAAAGAGAGCCCAAAGGAAGGAGAGTCTTGGGAGAAGAGGAAGTGTCACCAAGAAGGAGAACGGGTAGGATTTTAATGAGCAGGGCAAGAGGAGGGACAGGGGTTATACTCTAGAGACAGATATCCAAGGTTTGTTTGTGAGCCAGGCTCTGCCCTTGTTGGAGGCTAGGAGGGTACCTGGACTACGTGGCTGATATATTAAGTTTGGTCCCTCTACAAAGATGCTGGAATGCCAGGCCAAGGAGTTAGGGTTTTATTTCAAAGGCTACAGGATAAAGCACAATCAGAACCTTGGTTTAAGGAGATTACTCTGAGTAGAATGAATTTCAAGGTAATGAGAGGAATCTAGGGGTGGTGAGGGGGAGAAGAGTGAGACAAGAATTCCAGGAACAAGGGAGGGAGGAACAAGGGGACCAGTCTTTCATGGCGTTTCATTATTTGGCAATCCTTGGGATAGAGTATAAAAAACATGGTCAGGGTAAGGGACCTACGGTGAGGGATGCTGTGGGCAGAAGGTGAAGAACAACACTCTGGATGGAGATAGTGTAGGCTTCTCTGTTTCAGAGGCATCCAGGTAGAAAAGTCCAGTAGCAGCTCAAGAGTAAAAGAATCCGAAGAGCTGAGAGTTAGGAAGCGGGTGAAGCGGCATTCCTGGAGAGATGAAGGCCGAAGTTCATCACAAGTCTCTGCATATAATAAGACAAACAAACAACACAACAAACTCCCAAAGTCACCTCTGCCTAGTTTATTTCAATACAGAAATGAACCAAGTGAGTTCTAGAGAATCCAAATAACTCTGAGTTAGGATTTGGCTCTGCGCTGTGTGATCAGTTTAGGATTAGTGGAGTTGAGTGTGCCAACCCCAAACAATTTCCCGTCACTGTTACGTGTGTTTCTGTGTCACCACATGGCTTCCCACAGATGGTATACATTTGGGGATTGCGGAGTCATTTCACTATCATCTTTAAAAAGCCAGATCTGGGAAGGTAAATCTGCTTCCCAAAGCCAAATATAGTTCTCTCTGCCATTGTTCCCTCCGTCCTGGCAGGTGACGGGGAAATGTGGTGCAGAAAGCTGTGAGTGAAGGGACTGGGGTGCCCAGCTCTGCAGAAGTTTCGAAGGGTGCAGTAGAGGACAGGTGAGAGAGCCTGGCATGGAATGGTGTATTGTTATGTAATGGGGAACTCTGGGTTCTGGGCAGATGGAGCTAGGAGGCGAGGAAGCTAGGAAAGACAGTGAGCATGGCTCAGCTTGCTCTGCGGAGGGAGAGGGACAGTATGTGGAAGTCAGGTGGACCAAGAACCCAAGAATTCCTTCATTGGGTGGGAGAGGGACCCTACACAGCCTCGCCACCTGTCCCTCGGCTGCTCATCATGCTTCTGAAGGTTGCGATTGGACAGTAAGTTGCCAAGGCAAGGATCCAGGCCAAGCATCCTCAAGAGCAAGTAGCAATTTGCCGGAGAAGACTTTCTCTGTGGGAGTTAGGGGTAGAAGTTTACTAGGCTCAGGCTTACTGGGGTCTCCTACCTTGACAGAATTTTCTAAACCCATCCCCAGTCTCCTTCTCACCAGGGAGAAATAGAAAGGATATGCTTACTTGATCTCCTTCATTGGCACCCCAATTCCTGATTACCCTGGTGGATGAAGAGTGAAATAAAAATTAGCATGTTTATCCCACTTTTAAATTCGTTTAATGAGAACTCATTTACCCTCTCCCAATTTAAATTTGCAATAACACCCATAACCTTTCAGAGCTAATTATTACCCATCTTCCCAGATCTTCCTGTTAAAGGCTTTTCTTTCCAACTACTCCTGGACCCCCCTGGAGCTTGACACTTACTTTGTCAGCCACTCAGCCTTGTGAGGTATTACCCTTGCATCACTATTAGAATTCCCTCTTTGGGTGCTTTCAGTTTTAACTTGGAGACTTGTTCTTCCACTCAGTGACACTCCCTTTGTCCCATCCTCGAAAAATCAAAGTAGACTTAGCCCTTTCTCTGATCTCTTCTATCCCCCAGGAGTCACTGAACTAACTCCAAGCTGGTGTGCACAGTGTCTGGGCAGCTACCAGCCCAAAAGCTGGAGTCACCATGGCGGCGGGAGTTGCAGCCTGGCTGCCTTTTGCCCGGGCTGCAGCCATTGGATGGATGCCAGTGGCCAACTGCCCCATGCCTCTAGCTCCAGCTGACAAGAACAAGCGGCAAGATGAGCTGATCGTCCTCAACGTGAGCGGACGACGATTCCAGACGTGGAGGACCACTCTGGAGCGCTACCCTGATACCCTGCTGGGTAGCACAGAGAAGGAGTTCTTCTTCAATGAGGACACCAAAGAGTACTTCTTTGACCGAGACCCAGAAGTGTTCCGCTGCGTGCTCAACTTCTACCGCACTGGGAAACTGCACTACCCGCGCTACGAGTGCATCTCTGCCTACGACGATGAGCTGGCCTTCTATGGCATCCTACCTGAGATCATTGGAGACTGCTGCTACGAGGAGTACAAAGATCGCAAGCGGGAGAACGCGGAGCGGCTCATGGACGACAATGACTCTGAGAATAACCAGGAGTCCATGCCCTCACTCAGCTTCCGCCAGACCATGTGGCGGGCCTTCGAGAACCCACACACCAGCACCCTGGCCCTGGTCTTCTATTACGTGACTGGCTTCTTCATTGCCGTCTCGGTCATCACCAACGTGGTGGAGACGGTGCCATGCGGCACGGTGCCCGGGAGCAAGGAGCTGCCATGTGGAGAGCGCTACTCCGTGGCCTTCTTCTGCCTGGACACCGCCTGTGTCATGATCTTCACGGTGGAGTACCTCCTCCGACTCTTCGCGGCACCCAGCCGATACCGCTTCATTCGCAGTGTGATGAGCATCATTGATGTCGTCGCCATCATGCCCTATTACATTGGCCTGGTCATGACCAACAATGAAGATGTGTCCGGGGCCTTTGTCACGCTCCGGGTCTTCCGTGTCTTCAGGATCTTCAAGTTCTCCCGCCACTCCCAGGGCCTACGGATCCTGGGCTATACCCTGAAGAGCTGTGCCTCGGAACTGGGCTTTCTCCTCTTCTCTCTCACCATGGCCATAATCATCTTCGCCACTGTGATGTTTTATGCCGAGAAGGGCTCCTCTGCCAGCAAGTTCACAAGCATCCCTGCATCTTTCTGGTACACCATCGTCACCATGACTACACTGGGGTAAGTCAGTGCCACCGGCCTGGATAGGGTGAAGCTGAGGTGGTTGATCGTGAAGCTTTAGACGGTGTATCAGGATTGCCGAGAGGAGGTTTGGAGATGCAAAGCCCTTCACTCAAGTCGTGGAAGCTAGGGAAGTGGAATAGTAAGAAATGAGTGATTTGTTTGTGGGTGGTGACTTGCTCTGAATTGATTCTTTTGGGGCGGGGTGAGGCATGTGTTTTATAAAACATGGGAAATTAAGTCACTATGCCTTTCCTCCAGACAGGCAGTGTGGTGTGTGTGATGGCAGGGTGGAATGCCTCTAAGGACTCTGAAGGGGAGGAAGACAGAGCAGGTGGGTGGTGGGGCAGAAGGCTGTGAGAAGTTGGGTGAATGGTGTACAATCTGTACATGCAGATTTCCTTCCCTGGGCCTTCCTGCATTTCTCCTTTGTAGTATATTTGCAAACTGCTTTCTCTTTTGCCTCATTTGTCTTTTCTGCTGCCGCAGACACTCGTGGGTTCAACATCTCTGATTAGAATTTCTCTCAATGATCCTGATTTTGGGTTTTCTGCAAAGCAAGGCACCAGTTTCTTTTTTCTCACTAAAGGAGGAACAATCTTGTTTTACCAGCTGGAGTCGGAGATGGACTGACCCAGCCTACCTGCGTGCCTGTGAAATAGACTCAGTGGGTCATGTGGTCAGGCAAGCAGCAGTATCATTAGAGGGAGAGACAAGTGCTCTGTGAGATCTCAGGTGACCTTCCCTTCCAGATCTCTGAGTTCTCCACTCCACTGAGGTCACAAAAATACATTTACGGTGTTGGGATGTTATGCTTTCCATGAGAGGAAGGGGTCCCAGGAAGGAGATTAAAGTCTTCATCTTAACAGGATTAGAGCAAATGAAGGCAGCTGCTTTATGGAGACAGATTTCAGAGGGGTTCTGCCTCAGACTTTAGAAGCCATGAGACTAATGAAAAATCCCTCCACAATTCATATGCTGGGTCTAGATTTGCTTAGGCAAGGAAGCATTATATTGCTGATGGAGAATTCATGAAGCTTTTTATTTGGTCTTTGACAATTTGGTTGGTGGCATCCTGGTGGTTCAATTTTTTTCCTATCTGAAACCCTGTTGTGGTGGTATAGGTTATTCCATAGTGCTGCGTGTGTTTATCAGGAACGACTGAGCAGGTGATTGGACCTTTTAAAGTGATTACATTTGTCATTCTGCCACAAGAGAGGAGCAGAGAGGAACAAGGGACGTCACCATCCATTTGTGAAGGCCATGTTTGATTCCCTTTACCTCTGACTGTCTAAAGAAAGCTATACAGCCATTCTTCCCAACACCACACACACACACACACACACACACACACACACACACACACACACACGCACACGCGCACGCACACACACACTCATATATGTGCATATACAGGTGCACACATGCACACATGTGTGTTCACCAAATAGCTAGCTGCTCACCAGAGTGAATGCTTAACTCTGGAACTGATCAAGCAGCAGATATAAGCTTTTGACACCATGGGATATTTGGGATAAAGTGACCTGAGGACTTGGCTTCATATTTGTCCCTTCTATGCTGACCCTGGACATCCTTCACCTTCCTAAAGAAACCCAGGCACCTACCTCATTCCAACCCTTAAGCATGATCCTGATGTGGTCCTGGCTCCCCGGTGTCCTTAGTTGCCTCTTGATGGGATTCATGACACTAAAGGGAAGAACTTGTATTGGGATGAATACTAGGCAGATTGATGGGTGTCAGAGTTAAAAGGGGATCATTTGGAGATCAATAGGAATGTCACTGGCCACCTGCCCATTACTTTTTATTATTAGTATAATAGCATCTGGGTGTCTACTGTGTGTCAGCAGTGTACTGAGCACTTTGCATATATTATCTTTAAGTCCTCTCAGCCGCCTTGCAAGGTAAGAAAAGCTCTGCACTCTTTAAAGATACAGAAGGCGAGGCTCAGAGGCATTCAGTAAATTCTCCATAGTCACAGAGTTGATTTTCAGATGCCGGTCTATACACCTTCGATGTCCTTTCTCTTTTCACTGTGTCCCACTGTTCCCTTTCCATCATGGCCTCTAGTAGAAACCAGACCTTCAGGATTATTACTTTTTTAGATGGCCTCTGGATGTAATATTCTCTTCTAATTACATTACTAGTTGAGAAAATATGAGCTTGGTGAATATTGTATGCCGGGCACTGTCCTGGGCACACAGAGACTTTACACGTCACACATTTCCTTCTGGACAGGCCAGGAGGCTGCATTAGAGACCAGTGACTGTTTTCACAGCTAAACTTGGGATTTTACTGCTATGTTTACTGTGGGCTAACGGTTGATTTCTTTTAGTGTTCAGCATCAGGGGGTGGGGTAGACAGTGTTGGCCTCACATTTGTTTCCTGGAGGTCGTGCAGGGTGCAGGTAGGCTGCAGGAAAAGGCACTTGAGAGGGAAAAGAGTCTGCCTACACTGTGGACAGGCTGGGCTCCCTTGCGGGCCCTGGACCTCCTCACTCCATCCCCAATGATGAACAGGCTTGTCTCTCCACCCCCAACACATTGAAATGTCTAGCTTCTGAGAGGATAATCAAATGGGCTCGAAAAGAAGCCTTCGGTCCTCTCTTCCTTCTATTCAGACAAGTTACGAGACAGCGGTTGCTTTTTCTTCCTTCCACTCTGTCTGGCTGTAGCTCCGTGCTAGATCAAGCTACTTTGACTTTGACCTGAGCTGGCAGTTGGCACCATTACCAGGCTCGTTTGTTTAGCTATACATAGCAGGTGCTTGGCAAAATGCTTTTTAATGGAGGGGTCAGTGTAAATGGGGCACCTTCCTCATTTGCTTGGCCTGATACTGTTCTCAGTCTCTTCTAGATGTATCTGTCCTTTCTTGAGGGCAAATTGAAGGTTTGAGCCTGCAGCCCTGCAACAATCCCAGCCCTGGATGCTCTGTCTCAGCTCTGCTGCTCCAGGAGAGAGGAGAGCAGACTTGACTGGGTGCCTGCCCTGTCCACTGAGATGCTCTCCAAGACCACCTGGATCTTCTTGCCATTACTAGGGGACTTTCTGGAAAGTTTTGTTTTCTGTCCAAACCACATTCACTGGATAGTTTTAGTCCTGTTCAACCATTGAAGGAAGTTCATCTTTTTTTAAAGTCTATTTTGAATTTGAGCTCTATATGACCAGGAAGTATGAAGGGCCAACTCCACAGTGGTCCAGCTGCTTCCGGCAGTTCCCAGGACATACCTACCATGCCTGTGGGTCCTCCCTACCTACTCCTCCCTGAGTTCTCATCTCTAATCAACGATGCTTTCTTCAGCTCCTTCTCAGAGCAGTGCCAGCCAACATGCTAAGAGCCAAGAACAAGCGAAGGTGTTGGCTCTGCCAGGCTCTGGTTGCCATCTCTGTCTGCTTTCCCACCTACCTTACTCATATGTCCTCCAGGGAAGGAGCTCCTGAAGCCAATTATCACCATTTATTTAGTATTTCAAAATTCTTTATGCACACAAGAACAAATGACAGCCCAAATTATCACCCAGACTTGAAGACGTCTTTCCTTGGCAGGTTCCTGTGCCGGTAGGAAAGACCCCTGAGCTGTGCCCAGGCTTCCCTTGTGCTCCCTTGACAGTTGAGCTCCCAAATGCACCATTCAAGGATTAATTTCCGTGTTCATAATTGATGCTATAAATAAAACAAATCCCCAATTATCTCAGTTAACAGAGGAAAGGGATAACGTGGAACTCCCAATATTAAATAAGACCAACATAACTAGTTTGGGAGTGTATTATATGAGGTGAGTTTTGTCAAAGCAAATTTCCTTTCTTAATTTTGCTTGGCTTTGCTTAACATTATGGCTGACCTGGACTGCCTGAGCAAGTCCTTGGGGGAGCTCAGGTGAGGACATGGGGATAAGAGAAGTTGGGAACCTTTGGGTGTGTGCCCACAAGGGCCATGGGGGACTGACTTCTGGACATCTAGAATGGACTGTTCTTGGACGTCTTAAAGAGGGGGGTTGGGCTTCGGAAAAGTGGGGGGAGGTATGGAACAGCCTCTGCTCCTTCTATGGTGGCTCACCGCCACTGTTGACACAGTTACATAATTGTCATCGGCAGTCTATCTGTCACCCTGTGCTCTGAGATGCGAGCATTTTTGACAGTGTCCAAAAATCACTTTAACAAAAGCAGAATCGATTTTTTTTTTTTTACTTCTTCCAAGTGTGAAACAGTCTCCAGGTGATTTGCATTTCCCTTTAAAACCTAATCCTTGAGGGAGCCTTTCTGGGGTTCTAGGAGGCAGGAAGACTCCGGCAAGGAAGTAGAGAGAGGAGCATTGCATATTGGGGTTCTCGATCAGGCTCCCCGGTGCCAGAAATGGAGCTTGTCTGAGATGTGTTTTTATTAACTCTTCAATTTTCAGTGTTCTGTCTATACTTTCACAGGGGTCACCAATACTTCAGTGTAGATACTGGCTGACAGTGTTATCTGTGTGGGGTGAGATCCTGCCCACTGGACTGTTCACATTACATTGCTGAGAATGAGTGGCCTTCGGGTCTTTGTTGGCATTTCTTAATTGATAGTTCCCTGGTGCTGAAATTCCCAAGAGAGGATGCAAACTTATATCTCACCAAGGAATCTTTCATTCCTTCAATGTTTGTGAATGCTTATTGTGCACCAGAGTATTGCCGACTCTGAGAATACACAAGCACTATAATTGCATTCCAGTCCAATATGAATTTGCAAGATGAATCAAACAAGGTGTATTTCCCTTCCTCAGAACATGAATGGTTATCTTCCAGATGCAAAACTACATTGTCTTCTCCAAGAAGTCCTCCCAGCTTTTGAAGATCTGGGGATCCTCTTGCCTCCCATCACATCCCTGGTGTTCTACTCTGCCGCCACCACATTTTCTTGACTTTGTGTATTTCCTCCCCTTCCCCCCCCTACATTGTGAAGTCTTCAAGCGCATATCTTCACAGATTGCAGGACTTGGTAGTAGTAAGCC